AATACAAACTATGCATGTTTCTTGGATTTATGCAGTATGTTTGGAAAGAAATGTTGTCTCTGTTTAAATATAGATACTACATTCACTTATTGATGTTTCTATCAATAAAGACCTCATACTGCAAAACATATGACATAATAATTCGAGAATTTGTTTTCTTTCTGATGGCCTGTTCAGTAACCTGTTACTTAAGTGAGTGCCTCTGGGAAGCTGAGTTTGGGTCTCATTTTAAAAAGTACTTTCTGAAGATTAACAAAAAAGTGAAATTGGCTTTTCTGGGAGCGTGCGCACTGTTTTGTTTTAAGATGATTTTGCCAGTACTAGCAGCATTGCTCAAGAGTTTTCTTTGGATCTCTATGAGGCTATCCATTCTGTCCTTCAATATTGGCCTAGAGGGTGGAATAAGCTTGAAATTTAGATTGAAATCTTAAATATATACACAGTGTTCACACCTTTACATAGTCTTGTGGTTTTCTTCCAAGACCTAAGAAAAATTCTTTGTTATCTGAATGTTGTTGTAAATATTAGATTGGTCCTGTTTCATCATCGATACAAAAAAAAGGATTTCAAAACTTAGCGTAGACCAATATAAAAATGTGTGAGACAAAATAATGATACACACTGGCTATTGACCTGACCTCATGGATGCTTTCTTTGTTACTTGCAATTTTGACTGAAAGTGAAGTAATTACAGACAGTAATAGTTACCTGGTAGTTCTGAGCTCCTTCAGTCCCAGAACTGTATCCTGGCCCCTTTTCAGTGACATAGGTTGTGTTTTGGTGTGGCTATTCACATTTTTACATTTCTATGGGGTTTAACATCCTCCACAGAATTTGGTATTGTCTGAACATCATAGTGCTAAAATGCTTCTTACACTAGGTTTAAAACTTTGGAAGGATCTGCATTTGTGCATGTCAGCAGCTTTATCCAGTAAATCAGTAAATGAAGAAATTAACTAGCGGTGATGACTACGCTGTACCACTCTTCCTCAACTGTATTTCTTCCTCTTCTGAACACTATTTATTTTGTATTGAGCTTAGGTGGGCTACCATTGCAATCTTCTGAATATCCATTGATGTTGCCATTACACTGCAGATCAAAATTTAGCAGCAGAGCCAGGGGCTGATGTTCCGCTGCTGACCAACAGTGGAAAAAAGTCTTTGCTATTTCTCCCCAACACTACCACAGCTCGGTGTTGTCTCAGTAAAACTCTAGGAACTACTGCTTGAATTCCAGGATTATTTTCCAGGTGTCTTGTTATGTTACTGGAGTCGCTCATTCCTAGAGAGTTTGTAGAGTTTGCCTCTTTATAGCTGGTCAATAGTGGCATTCCAGTGCCTTTTACTAAGTTGCTAGACCTTAGGGATTGAAGTACCTTTTCAAAAATGGTACTTGAGTGCATGCTAAATTTTACTCAGCCTTTCTGATGTGAAGTGCTGCTCTTTATCCTCCCTTCCATACAGCTTGTTGACAGAGAGATACATTTCTCTTCTAAATTTTGGACATTTATATCTGAAAATCTAATGCTTGTAATTGTCTTAATAGGCATCAGATCCACAAAACATATACTGTTGGAAAGAAAGAGAATAATAAATATGCTTATATATGTTTGCTAGGAGATCAACCTTATTTCTTATAAGCAAGAAAGTGTGTCTTAGAGCAGATCCCAGTGTAAAATTCTTTTGCAGAGAGATTCAAACTGTTGTAGTTGTGACAGAAATGCATGTTTCAAAAGATGGAAAGGAACAGATGAAAAGTAAGAACAAACCTTGCAGAACGAATCTGCAACCTTCATTCCTTCCATTGAGTTGCTTGCTTTTTCACTCATACATATTGAGCACTTTTCCCACTTAGAAGTCATGCAACTGTCCCTAACTCATGCCAATAAATATTTTACATTGGACGGTTACTGCATAGATACAGCATGTAAAATTAAGTTTCTTAAAGAAACATTAATCCAATTACTTTTTCCTCATGTGTGATTTTGCAATATGTACAATACTATATTAAACGGGATATTTAAATAAGAATGCAAAATGAAAAATATTTATAAAATAACCAGAAAACATTAGCATTGGCATTTGCCTTTGTTTTAATTGTACAACCTAAAGGTGTTATTAACACATGATTATGCATTTAATTTTCTAGTTTGATTAAAAACAATTGCATGTGCTTATTCGTAGTTTAAGTGGTTCCAATTGGCTCTTGAAGTCTTTCACTTCAGTGAAGCAAATGGGATGTGGGAGACTTGAGTTCCAATCTTCATTGCTTATTTCACTTTGACCGATGAGTTTTCTGCAAGCCTGGGTTAACAAGGCTCATAGATATTAGTTTACAGAGTAGGGCTATATAATTTTTAAAATTATCCTTTTAAAATTGATAGCTTGTTGATATTACACAGTGTTAGCATTATTGAAACAGTCTTTAGAATTGTAAGGTGTAATTTATTAGCCTTCATTCAAAATATTTGAAAAATGAAGTAGTGAATGCTTTTCAGAAAGGATTTGAGGCATCATTCAGCTCTACTAAACTGAAGCAACTTCCAGCTTCCAAGTCTTTTTTATTTTTCAGTTGCTTATAACTTTTCTTTTTAGTGATCCCAGCAGCCAAGGGGAGATACAGAGGAGATATGATCTTGCCAAATTTCTTTTGGCTGTTTTAAATGTAATTTTGTTCAAAACGTGTTTAGAATTGCATTCTAAGTTAAAAAAAAAAAAAAGACGAAGCATAGTATCTGCACTAATACAATTTAAGAACTGTTGAAATTACTTTCTTGCTGTGTAGCAATCACTCCCAGCACCTGGCAAAAAAAAATAACCTGAAGAATTTCTTTCTTCTCTGTTCTTCTTATTCTGTTGCACTGGTTGAAACCTTTCGCTAACTTGGCTGATATATCGGCATTTTCAAAGACATTGTGGGAATGTTATCCCCTTGCAGAATGCTGTGAATAGCTTCAGAGTCCGACCTGTCGTGTGTGCGGGGGAACGTGTTCCTCTTGAAGCATCGCTACCCTAAGGAGGCAGCTTGGCTGTAGTTACAATGTCCGATGATGCTACAAAATTTGCAGTGGCAAATGAAGAATATTATACATGATCAAAACAGGAGGGCTATTTAGGTAGACATAATATACTGCAGCGACTGAAGTATAAACGACTGTGAAAGAATGGCACAGATTTTTCTCAAGCTGTGTCTGCTGCGTACCATACGTTGTGGTTAAGGGAGACAGCATCATGGTAAACAATTGTAGGCAGCTCGCTGCAGAAGGTGAGGGTGTATGGGAGCTGGGGAGCCAGGGAAATGACCAGATACTCTTTTTAACTTAGAGAGTAGAGGTTATGGCAGGAGGGAAGGAAGCTGCCCCATGCTGTCGGGGTTACTTGCTGGTAGTTTGGTCACCTGAGAATACTGGCAGTTGGTGGAAGCTGGAGCAGCCCTTACGCCTGCGGGCTAGCACTGCTTCAGTCATCCTTGCTCTTACCCAGAGTACCTTCGCTTTTCAAAATGATTAATAATAGAGGCCAAGAAGTAAACACCCATTTTTTAAAAGGAATTCTTTTTTATTTGAGAAAACGATCCCACCTGAAAGGTGATGCATTCACAAACACAACACTTCTGGTCCTAGCGTGGACTGAGAGTTCTCTGCTGTCTCGAAGGAGCAGGGTCAGAATTTCCTGACTTGCCAAGTCCATTGCCCAGCTATTCCCAGCACCTGTTTCATTGAATTCTGTTCTGAAACTGAACAAGTTTAATCTAAAACAAGGTTTAAAAAAACTCAGCCTCATAACTCAGCTTAAAAGACTGAAAACTATATAACTTCAGCTTGGATAGATTTAGGGCAGTTTGCAAAACCAGGCTTTGTTGGTATTTAATATAACGCACTGTGTGACCTTCCTTAGCACAGGAAATCTGGTGAGATCTTACCCTGGAGTCACAATAGTAGTTTCCCTCTTTCTGGTTTCATTTGGTCTCCCAGGGAGAAGTAATAGTCTCCCATGTGATAGTGGGAGAAGGAGATGTTCACCTTAAGGACATGCATTGAAAATAAATCTGAAACACATTTCCTTGCACATAACCCAGCTCTCTACGTTGAAACTACCCTTTGGATTTTAGAGAGGTTGCAGAAAGTCTGTGAGCAGGTCTTTGGCTACTAAGACCATCAGACAGCTTATAGCATTCTTGAGATTCCTCTCTGTAGAAGGTGCAGGAAATATAGATTTAATTCTTTTATTCAAACTCAGTAGATGGTTTGGGACAATTAATTTCCAATTGTTTCCCAGTAGAGCAGATTTACTTGTATATTAATGAGGCACAGGTGTTAGGCCCCTGGTGCCTGCATGCCTGGGAGGCATATTTAGGTTGTTTATCTAGTCAGCCATAGGTACTGCAAGGTACTCAAGCTTGCCTTTAACAGTTTATACAGTGAGGCTTTTTAATTTTTTGATGTTTTTTTAAATTTGCTAGCACCTGTTAAAATTTTAAAACTGATCATGTAGAAAGAAGAAGGAGTGATTTCAATAGTAAATAGCACTAAATGTTAAAGGAAGTCATCTTCTATTATGCTTAACTGCCCAGCTTGACATTAAGAAGAAAAGAGGGTTCATTTAAGCAAATACGTCATGTGAGGAGCTAATACAGTCAACAGTATACTTTTCTGTTGCATATTTTTGGACTAGGTACTTCTTTGCAGCTGAAACATGAATGTGCTTATATTAATATTCATTTTTCTTGTTTATTCACTGAACTGCAGTACCAACATTTTAGAGGAAATGGAATAGCCTCCATAGACATTATGAATTTCAGTAGCTGGCATAATTATAGCGATCTACATATTCATTAAATCCAAAGAAGAAATGTGTCCAAAAAGACAGCCATGCGTTTAGAAATGGTACACAACTAAATATATACATTAAAAAAGTTCCTTTCCTCTGCTTATCCAAAATCATGTAGTGTCATATAGTCCTTAAATCAGCTAAGCCTTTTTTTTTTCATTTAAATGTTCATGCCTTTTGCTTTTGCATGCAGTAAAGAATGGGAAGAACTATTTGTAAACAACAATTACTTGGCAACTATACGGCTGAAGGGGATTAATGGGCAGCTGAGAAGCAGCAGGTTCCGTAGTGTTTGCTGGAAGGTAAGAAGAGAAAATATTTATTTACAGTTTGTGGTTGCAATATATCAACACATTACCTGATGCGCTGGAAGATTATTGATGCGAAGAATCATGAATTTTCTGAGAGACTTCATCCCAATGTTTTCCTACTCATTTTTATAATTCATAGGACATTTGCTAATCACATTTAGTTCCCTTAAAGCTGAATTGTGGGTGATAGCAAAAGATTCCTAGGAAAAAATGTCTTTGTGCTGGGTGCTGTGTTTAGAATTGAGTGCCACACAGCCATCTCTCCTCTCAGTCTTGGTGCAGTGAAGTCATGCACTGGAAATAAAAAGAAAGTTTGTGTCACAATTTACAAGTTGTGGAACCTGGGACTCCTTTAAGATCAGTCTGGTGCTTCTGCTAGCAGCTTTTCCCAGTGAAACGGGGAAATGAAGACCAATCTGTCTTGTAATGACTGGATGAAGAGAGAAGCCCAGTCCTCCAGTCTTAAAACACAAGTCCTCAGAAGAAAGGAAGACAGAAAGAAAGCAACCTAATATTGAGATGCTATATAAAGTCCAAGACAATTTTGTTGCACTGTCACTGGGTCTTCTGTGCTGCACTATGATAGCAGAGAACATTTTCCCTAGTAGAGTTGCTGTATGTTAGCAGTGATAATTTAAATTACATCATGTGGTTAATTACCACGAGCCTCACATTGGCACAAAGACCTCTTAAAAGAAAATGAAAATACTCTTTGTATATGAATGAAAGAAATTGAAAAAATGAAATTTGTGATTTGAAATGTATGTAGCATTGAACAAATCTAAAGTTAACAAAAATACTTTTTTCAGGAGGCCAGATGAATAATGCCACAATTGTTGTTTTGTTGGTGTGCTACTCCCTGAGCCCCTAAATTAGGAAGTCGTAGTTCAAAATCCTAAAGTAACAAAAATGTGAAGTCCCTCACTATCCAGTAATTAAATCAAGGAGTGGCTTTATTTTAGAAATAAGGCTGATTTTATTTGCATGTCCTAGTATGATTTTGCGCTCTATTTTAGACTGCCTGTTTGTAAAATATTATCTATATTTTTATTAGTTCTGAAATACTTAAGTATTTTTAGTAATTTGAGAAGGGGGCATTTTTTGACTATTTACTGTTTCAAAATGGACCCTTTTACCTGTATAGCAGAATTCTAGAATGTGTTTCTTTTCTATAGATTGAGATTTTCCCTTTCTGTGTTTCTTACATAGAGTATATCTTTTCTGCTCTGCATTCATGTTTAGGTTTAAGCATGTTGCATTAGTTCATCAGTGTGATGTGAATAGATAGCTTCAAGTTTTGTATTTTTATTTTCATCTCTTTGCATTTTGTTTCTGCCTTGGAAATCTCAATCAGCTTTACTGAAGTTGTGACAATTTACACAGCTTGAGCTTGTGGCTTCAGGTTTTTTAATGTTTCATTTCATACCACAGAACTGCTAGTGTTTCTAGTTTCTTATTTGTTGACTGGAAAATACTAAAGCCGAAAGTATTTTATAGATCTTTGTTTTCTTTGTATGTGTAGAGTACTTGCTCCTCCTTTTTGAAATGGTGCTGTCTGGTAGGATTTATGTGAAAAACTATGTTAAATTGATGAAACTTACAGATTTATTTTGTTTCGTTCATAGTTGTTTCTGGAGGTTCTACCCCAAGACAGAAGTCAATGGATTAAAACCACTTCAGACTTAAGAACTTCTTACAATAAGATCAAAGAAATTGTAAGTTGCAACAAAATAATTTCTCTACTGGCATGCTTTGGCATAGATATAAAATACTTACAGTATAACTGAAGAGGATTTGATTTTTTGTTTTTTTTTTTTACCCAGCACATTACAAACCCTCGGAAAGCAGGACAGCAAGATCTGATAATCAACAACCCACTCTCTCAGGATGAGGGGGTAAGTTGACCCTTGGTTCTATCAACACACGTGCTACTAAAATTCTCATCATCATCATCGCTCTGACACAAGTATGATCTTGCTGAAGAAGGCAAAATGGCAGGTGCTGAAATCTCCCTCCCAAATTTCCAAACTGACTTGTTTCAACAGTTGGTTCACAGGCTCTGCTGAACAACCAGAAATGCTCATTTTCAGGTTAATATTCTGATTTTTCAGGGCCTATCAAAGGGAAGGCTGTGATGAACAAAAATCTGTGCCGGACTGTAAATCCAGTTTCACAGCATACCTTTTCTTTAACTGATATGGTTTTTACTGCCATGTGTTTTCGTTTTATACTTAAAATGGCTGTAGGTGAAGGAGTGTTTAAACAATCAATATGAAGGGAATGCTGTTAACAGCAAATCCTGAAGAACCCTCTTCTGGAACACTGTTCAGCCTTGGAAGTGTTTCTCCAGCAAAAATAGAATTGTTCTACGTTTGAGTTGCATACGTGCTGAGTTAATATGTAAAGCACCAGGCTGCAAGACAGGCATTTCTTCCAAGGTTTTTAATTCTTTTTTCCGTATAGTTAAAAGAAACAAAAGTTTCTTTTCTAATCAGAAAGCAGCCAGCTGCAAAACGAAAGATCCAGATTTTAAAGAAATGCTGAAAATGTGGTACAAGTGTTTGGCCTGACTGTCGTTAAGTGCAGAGCATCCAGCTCTCATTTAAATTAATAGGACCTACTTGTAGCTTGTTGTTTTCGAAGACGTAACAATTTGAGCAAGGCTTACATGTAGATTTGGGAGCTTAATTTTAGCCAATGATTTTGTTTTTACCCTGTCCCTCTACTGCATTGTGTTATACTTGAAAAGCTCTCAAGTATTTTATAGCTCATCTCTTAAAACTTTTCTGTTAATTGTGTTGCCATTTTGGAAAATTCTTTGTTATCAAATTTTCAAAATGACTTAATACCATGAAAATAATTTGTGTGGCTGCATTTAAGAGATTTACACCTGAAAGACTGTCACAGATATCTTTGATGGTATTACTTGTACTTCCATTTTGTTCCCAAACGGAAGCCCATATTTTGTTTGTAGCTTGAGACTCTGCTTCTTATTTAGAAAGAGAGGGAGATTTGCTTGTTGAAACACGGAAGTATTGATCACAGGCATGTTGTTGGCTCTGCAGCCGGTATGACTGTGCATGCCATCACACCGTTCTTGCATCCAGCTGGACAGAAAGTTACATCAAATATAAAAGACTTAAAGTGCTTCTGCTTTAGTCTGAGATAATATGCAGTGACGCAGCCTGCTTTTTGCCTGCGACATCCTTAGGAGATAGAAGTCAAAGTTTAACATGTCAGAGTATGTGACATTAAACTCACCGACCAAACCAAGGACAGGAATGAAGAGCAAAGTGCCTTTGAGCCTCTGCAGTGATTTAGTGTTTTACTCTTTTAGTGTCCTGGGATTTGCTTCCTTTTTGTAATACAGATTTTGTTTCCTTCGTCCTTTGATGGACCAGAATGGGAGCAGGGACAGGGGAGTTTCAAAATGTGGTCTAGCTGCATGAAAATAGCAGTGAGTTACAAAGATACTAGTTTTATGTAAAACATTGTCAAGGATATACCTGCTTCTAAAGTTTTTTGTTCCTTTTCATAGTTTGTAACAACAAGATAGAAGGTAATTAACATTTTTGTTATTTTACCTTCCTTTTGTTAGATAACATTAATTTACTTTCTGTTTTCTTTCTGTGGACCATAAGCCACCATGGCAATGAATTGATTACAGAAGAGCAAGAAATTCTGGGAGGACTGTAGCCACTCTTTTTGTGCCATATTTCATTCACTGGTGCAGCTACTATCTGAAAACTAACCTGCATGAAAAGACTGCTGTAGGTTTTGTCCCTTCTGTATTGTGATCAGTATGGCCAAGCTGCCATCCCTTTACTGTAAAGAACAGGCTTTACAATACTTTTTCTGGAGCATGGAAACAACACTTGATGACTTCTTTCAGGTTAGCTTTTGCAAAATATTAGTAAACAAAGCATGGAAACCAAAGAAAGAATGCAAGTGGTCGTAAGCATGGATATAGAAGAACCTAAACTTACTTCCAACTCTTTTATTATTGTTTGGTGTAGTTTTTTTCTTTGATTGGTTGGGGTTTTATTTTGGTTTGGTTTGATTTTTTTATGTTGACAGTGAGCTTTAATAGCCCGATATTCTCTAGCAGAACCTTTTTAGAATGGCCAGTCTTGATCTGCACTCTGTATATGTGTTAGAGTGATACCATTTTCATAACAAGTGTTTGATCATCGTACCTTCCTTATTCAGTTTTACTTCCACTAAGACAAACTGGCTTATTTCCAAACAGCTTCTTAGTATGGAAATTATAGCAGCTTCCAATTAGAATCCATGCATCCATAGGAGAAATGGATGTATAATACGGTGATGTACTGATTTTTTTTTCGGTTGAGCTGCTAGTTCTGGTAAGTTTGAATTTACTCTGCCATTCTAAATATTCTTCATACACTCCTTACAAGTAAATTACAGATCTGCAGCCATCCAGTGAGCAAATAGAAGGATCCTAGAACAAGGATCCAGAAACTTGAATATTTTCATCTCTAATCTAAACTGACTTTCTCAGATACATTGGGCTGGTCAGTGACATTCTTTTTTCACACATAAAATATTGATATACCTATCTACCCAGAATGTTGAGGATTAATTAGTTAATATTTGTACAGTACTTTGCTGATATAGTATATAAGCCTTAAGTATTAGTAGAAGTCTGTTTCATACAATTATTCTTCCTTATTTCAGAGTCTTTGGAATAAATTTTTCCAGGATAAAGAGCTTCGAGCGATGATTGAACAGGATGTGACAAGAACGTATGTAGATCTTTAAGGAAATTGCTATATATAAATTTAGATTCTGCATTTTTATGTGGTGTACATTATACTGTGTTTACTGGACTTTGGTTACTATAAATGTCAGGATTGTTGAGTATGAGTGTGTAGAAACATACATTAAATGTAAAAAAATACAGCTTTCTTGGAGTGAAAAATGAGAAAATTGAGTTAAACATTAAACCCTGGAGATTTATTGGTATCATTGAAGAAAAGCTCTTCTAAATTAAGATATTAGGAAATGTATTACTATGTGAAATTTAAAGTAGAGTTTTCCATATGAAGCAAAACGAAGGTAAGGGAAAGTGAAAAGTCTTTTAACTAAATTATGATCATAATAAAAGAATGAACAGATTACTTTATTTAATTCTTAACACTTATTCAATCAGTAATAAAAAAGTAGTTTGTAATTAGTAAGAGAAATGTCACTCATCTAGAGAAGTTAAACATTTCTATTTTTGTTTAGCACTTTTCTAGTGTTATTTGTCACATACGCCTTCTAAAATTTGTCCTAATATTACTGTGATAATGTTTTCATTTTCTTGGCCCTTAGGTCATTCCTGTTTAGGAACTTGTTTGAGTTAGAACACTCAGTTCCTGAAAACATTTCTTTTCAGAGTGAAAGTATTAACTGATGTGTAAATGTAATTAAATTCAATTACTGGTTTGCTACCATGTGAAATTTTACTCTATCGTGAATATTTTTCCTAATAACTTGAAGAAAGAGGTAATAGTCATACAGTTTTCAAATCCCAAGCTCACGCATTTTCATTTACAGAAACAAAGTCACACGGAAGAAATTGCTGTCTGGTTTTGGGATATTTTATATGTCCATCCCTAGGCCCATTCTTGAATACATTTTGCCATGAGATGTATAATTAAAATCTGAGTATGCTTTCATGTGCATTCTCACAACAGATGGTATTTTTTGTTTGTTAAAGGAAACAGTTCAGGATGTTCTAAGATTAAAATATATACGTATCTAAACTATAATTGAAGAAGGAAAAGTTGTGTGGAGGTTATGTTGGATGTAAGGCTGTTCTTTAAAAATATGTATATGTACACAAAGTCCAGGCTTTCACTCTGGCAAATGGCAGAGTGAGTAATAATCACTAATATCAGTAATAGTGATTAAATAAATTTCCATTTATGTATATTTTAAAAATAATGTCTTTGAAACAATAGCAGCATACATTATGTGTCATCAATATCAAATAGGAGCAAAATTTATCAGTGTAATATAGATTTATTTTATAAACTACCTGCACTTACATATACACTTGTAATTTTCCTCATCATAAGACATAGCGTGCATTTACGTATACACGCATATCTGTTTGCAAACTATTATTGGTGTAAGAAGTAGTAAGTTCTATATTCCTTGGCTTTGAAATGTAAGTACTGTCTCTTTAATGTTGTTCATTTCACTTCCAGTTTTTGAATAAGTTCCTGGAGTTACAATATAAAAAATTGTCATTAATTTACAATGCTTTTTATCAACAGTTAAAATAATTAGATGTTATTTTCAGTCACCATAATCATTACCTTCTACTTTCTGTTTCTTATTTAACCAATATTTTTGTATTCTTTGTCATCGAGTTCAGTAGTCATCATTCAACAGCATCAAGTAAATAATGCTGTAGGCAGTGATGCTAACTGTACACGGAGTAGCAAACCAGAATCCCATCTACTGAAGCAGTAAAAGATTTCCTCTATAATATTTTTATTAGAACTTACTGAAGTGTAGTAATACTGGATGGGAAACGAGTGTAGAAATACGCTTTTAAAATTGGTATTGGCTTAAATTGTTTTAAATTTCAGAATTCTGTTACCCAAAGGAAACCGTGATAAAGTATGTTCATGTGTGTGTATTCATATGCATTTAGTGAATCCTTATCTCACTTAATAATTAGATTTGTAAAACATAGATGCTCATAACTGGACTAATAATCCTTTAGAATCTATGTACCTGAAGAATTCTAGGACACAAATCATCTCTTCGTATAGTAAATTTCTAGTTACAGGTCTAGTGAATCACACTGTAGAGAAATATGTTTTTCTTCAGTAATTATAAAAGGCTTCTAGCTCACCTGTAGCTCACTAAACTGCAGTCTCCTAAAGCTAGACGAGAATAATCCAGGGATTTTGTCTAGTTAGTCCTAACTCATTAGTGATTAGCAGTTCTAATTATTCACCCAACTTATTTTTTACAGTAGTTCAGGGATTCAGAATGGATTTTCCTTCTCCTGTCTAAAAACCATGTACTTTTGATCTGGAACCAAACAACATCTCATTCTGTCTCAAGTGAGAAGCTTCTAAAAATGAGGGTGGGAAGGAGAGTAAGGGAAGTTTACTATAGTGCAAGTAAGAGCCTTATTTTAAATGTAGATAGCAGAATCAACCAAGTTTGACTGTAATACTATATTGTATTATTCTACTAAGAACGGAAGATGTATATGAACTAGCACCATAGAAACTCATAACAGACAATGCAATGATTAATTACTGTCATTCAAAAGATGTACCAAGGAACAATCCTGATTTATTTTGTGATGGTTAAGAAGGTAAGTGAGAAAGAAGATTTTTTTAAAAAAATATTCTACAGAAATGAAAATCAGAAAATTGGCAGATACAAGAGCATCTAGCTACTAGTCAAATCAAAATGCCAGTCTCCTTGCTGCCATCACCTTGTACATCTAGGATTGTTCATGGCTAGATTTTATTACACTCTTTTTCTCTTAATTATTTGAGAAAAGAAAATGCTTAAGGGATGTTCCCAATAGACTAATCAAATGGAATTCTTTTCTTTTGTAGTACTGTTTTTATATATTGTCTACCTAGTTTCTCCTTGAGCAGTAACAATCACAACTCAGGACAACAGAAGCTGTGTGAAGATGAGTAGTGGTGGGTGCTGCTGTTTCAAATACTGCATCTCCCAAATAACAAAAAAACCCCTCACGCATAGCAAGGTAATGGAGAAGCCATTAGGCAAGTACATCCTTCCTAAGCGTGTAGAAAAGATGGAAAGAAAGAAGAATCCAGTGAGTATGAACATAGAAGGCAAAACACGGTTTCTCTGTAAGAGGAGGGACTGCTGGAAGGGAGAGCTACCTTTATACACCTAGCCCCATTTAAGAAAAAAAGTGAGCAACAGGAGGGCACTTATTGCTCTTCTTTACCAAACTTTTGCAATTGCAAGAGTAAATTCCGTTGTTTTTTTTTTTGTTTAGTAGCTTTCCCCATTCCAGCTGAGTTGGGAAATGGCAGGAGATGGAGTCTGTTTGAGAAAAAAGATGGTCACTCCATGGCTGAGGTTAAGTGCTTCATTTCTGTCACCACCAAATATGTTTCCTAAAGTATTCTTGCATCCTTTTATTTGGTTGCCTGCCTAGGTTTCTTCTGTGTCAAAGTCTGTCTGCCTCTAGTGTAGGACCCCCAAAGCAGACTGAAGGAATGTTTTAAAAACTCATAATTAACTTGCGCTGGTCTTCACTTTCAGAAAGCAGATACTTGAATGTGCCGTTGTTTAACTGTAGCGGTTGTGATAAAAGAGTCTAGCAGAATTCCTGTGTCCTTATACAGTCTTTCTCAGAAATGTAATTAACAGTAATATTCTAGTGTTCGTGAAAAGTATTCTTACCTTCCCTGATTTGAGGATACTGTATTTCTAAAACAGTGCTTTAATCATAAAATGACATTCTCCATAAAAATCCATCCTGAACTGATAGTTCCCTCATGATCTCTTGTATTTACATTTACTATAATTAATACTTCAGCCAGCTTATTCCTGAGTTCATTATTATCCTTTCTGTTACAATCTCTGGTATTACTAGATCCTCACAGACATCTCTGTGTATTTTTGAGTTTTCTTTGTTAGTCTTGTCTTCCTAAACTTCACAGGGCAGGCCTGAATAACAGTCCTTCAGAAGTAATCTCTTCAAACCCCTAAATTATGTCGATTGCCATCTGCTGTAATGCACTTTTGGTCTCAGCTGTGTCCTTCCTTTACAGTAATATGATTAGTACAAATGCATACAAGTTTCCAAATGTTGGTCTACCATTACCCCCTCCAGGTGCCAGGGAAACGTTACACCCCTCATCCCAATGCCTTTCTTAGCACTTCAGCACTGCTGTATTTAAGCCATGGTGTCCATCTGAGGATTTCAAAGCACCTTTCTAGCCTTTATTACTTCTGTTATTAACACTGATAGTTTTATCTGAATTGTTTATTGTAATTCCTATTCTAATTCCCTGTATTGTTTCTCTATGACAGACTTTACAACAGGCTTAATATAACTGGTCTAAAATATAGCATTGTAGCTCAATCTTGGGAAGCGGAATAAAAAAATTGCTTGAAGAGAACTTATCTGCAATCCATGTGATTTTAAAACTGACAATACTATAGCATTTCTAGTCTGAGACCTACTGTTGTCTTTTAAGTAATCTTCTGTTTTCCTTTGTCCAACTTTACCCTTTCCTTTCTTTTTAGTATTACACCTTTATAGATTTTTTGGTTTTATTTGTTATTGCTCCATATAGGTGGATGTGGTTTGGCGTGGTTGCGTTATGAAGCGTTTTTTGCCATTTAGTTACTGCTTTAGTAAGCATGAAAACACTTCTGTTTGTGCACTTATTTGTTAAAGTATATCCTGCATAACCACTATATTGCCTACCTCTAGTGGTCAAGGAGCAGGATGCACAGGTGAGAGTTGCTTCAGAATAGGTACATATTATAAATATTTATGTTTTCCTGGATTATACCTAGATAACAGGATTTTCCCAGAAGCTTTCTTCCCTTATCCTCACACATATTTCCCCACTTCTCACACATAGAATCAAAGTCCACTTCATTCTGTTTCCCTTAAAGGATATTTATCTTGCCAAAGTATCAATGTTCATGAAATGAACAAATATTCAGATGTTCATGAAATGTGCAAATGTTCATGAAGTATTGAACCCTTGTGCATGTGTTTCTTCTGACATACTCTTCTTTCTTCCATTTAATTCCAGTTTATAACTGGAAAATTTACAAATTTCCTTAACCCGTTATAGCTCTTCCACTCTTCCTTTGCCCGACTTTTATCTTGAGAAAAATGAAGAGCAGAGCTAAGGACTGTTTGTGAAACTGCAGGGCAGACCGGTCATTCAGTTGCAGTTGCCAGCCTAACACAGATCAACAGAATGGGACCATGTCATATGAAGTATGTTTATCTGTGGAGATTTGATCTTCCGTGCTCTTTTTTTCAGTACCTGAATGAAATTAATCAACAGATAACTGTTTGCAACAGTTTTAAACTGCCTTTTTTGTTGTTTTTGAGAGGAGAAAAAGTGTCTGCTTGGATTTTTTTATCATATTCCTTTTCAAGGTGTTCCTAGCAAGTTTTAGAATCATTGGTGAAGGACTGAGAATCAGCAGAGCACAATCTTGGAGTTGTTACTGTTGTTATGCTGTGCCACCTGTGACTGGAATGGTCTTCTGGTCTGCTGGGCTTTGCAGTAAGAGTCTGTCTGCAGGAAGGAGAGGATAACTCCTTGCTTTCCTTCTATCTCCTTTCATTCGGCTTCAACTCCACTTGTTTTCATGACAGGGGAGCAAAGAAGCCTGATTCTTTAGGCATACTCATATGGTACATCGTGCTATTTTTATTGGATTGTCAAAGTCACTCCTTTTCAGCAGATTGTCTGTGTCTAAGAAGTTGACAATTAAAACAATCTACCATTGTATTTCATTATTGCAGATCTCAAGTTTTCATAATGCTAAAAGGCAGTACTTACATTACTTCAGTATAACTGGTCATACCATATCTTTGTAGCAGGCTGATGCATATTACTGAACATAGTTCAGAGTTTTGATTGCAAAACAGGAATAACAAGTCTCTAGAAGTATTCTTACTCTAGCAGCACTGACAATTTACAGAGCAGTAGGAAAGCAGATGAGGGAGGTTCTTTTTTACCTAAAACTGTTTCTAGAAGACCAGCAACTGAGATTTTGTGTGCTATATTGTTTCCTTTCACTGTAAAGTACTTTTATTCATTTTCAGCTTTCCTGAAATGCAGTATTTCCAGCAAGAGAACGTGAGGAAAATTCTTACAGATGTTCTGTTCTGCTACGCCAGAGAAAATGAACAGTTGCTTTATAAACAGGTAATGAAAATACTGTACAGGTGGCATTCATTGACTCAACATCTTCTGTACGGTTTGACAATAATGTAGTTCTGTTGTATCCAAAGTTGTATCATAGTGCTAAAGTAATCAAAGAACTGCTTGTCAGCTGGATGGTAAGAAAAGTAAGCTCATTGAATAACATATGTTTTTTTCCTCATAAGACAGTCCCTCAAGTTGTTTTCTTTAAGGTTGCTAAGTTGTCTAACTTAAAGTTTCTTAATAAACAGCATCTTTTTCTTCCATGCTACTTAAGAAAGAAAAAGAAAGGTTTTTTGTTCTTCAGTAAAGAAAGACAATATGCAGCAGGATTAAAAATGGTACTGAATAAACAAAAAACATAAGTAGGAACTCATAAAATTTAGGCAAAGTTACTATTTTAAGTTTTACAGAATATTGTAAGTTCTTCCTCAAAATGCTAAAGCCACACGGTATGTTAGTGAATAGATCCTTTATCTAACGCTCTAGCGTCCAGATACAACACAGCTGACTGAAGGATAAGGGTGCTACAAATACCACTTTTACTGTGTTCCCTGAAGGAAAGCCTGCTTATATGGTTTTTGATAAAATGGTAAAGAAAGCTTTAAAGTTGTACTAACTGTGCATCCATATGGGATGCAGGCTGAATTAATTTAACGTTTATTCTAAAGGTTTTGAAGCAGTTATGAGCTTGATACTAAGCTGATATAGCAAGACCAATATACAGAATATTGACATAAGTGTATTTATATTTGTTTTTTCAGGGTATTAGCTGTAGAGTGAGTGAGGACTGACAAATGGGGATATTCTGTGTACCTGGACAAAGGATAAACTGTAAAGCAGCAAACTTTAAGTAGAGAGAATATTTTTCATGGCAGAAGTTCATTAAATGTGAAAATTTTTATAAGACGCTATATGCTTTCAGGCATAGCCTGTGACCACTTGTCCTCAAGCCAAGGAGGACATTCATGAAAGTTGAAAGAACTCTTACTTTTGAAGAACTGTCTTACAGATTATATCAAAAATCAAATATATAGTTATAAAACATGAAATCTCTATCAGCTGGTTATTTCTCATGTTTGACAGACTGTGAGCAAGGAATAGTCTTGCATGAGAACAAGAAAAAATGAGATTTCTGAGCTGTATTTTGAAGGACACTGCTAAAAACACTTCAGCAGCATTCAGCCTTCCCTTTCTAGTGAATGTAGGCCAGAGTACTGATGATGGGAAGATGGAAGAACACATTCCAGCTAATTTAATCTATCATTCATTGAACAAGAAATATTATTTTACTCTTTGATATGACTTAAAAGGACTTAATTACTCTCTGCTTATATTTAAAATCCTCTTGATTCCTTACGAAGAAATAATACCTTTCTACATAAGGATGGAATATTTAGCCAGATCAATTTTTTTTTAAAAAGCCCTGAGTTTCCTCACAAGCTGTTAAAGCTATTATTTTCTACTAGGTGACACCCCGTTTAACATAGACCATATTGTTAATAGTTATGGGATTTTATTGAATTAATGAGACTGTTATCATGTAGTAGAATGTCTTGCTGAGTTAATTGAAACTGCAGAGATTATATAAATGGTATTAATGATCTTTGACTGCCTGATGCCTCAACTTTAATAAAGACTGCTTGGTGGGCTAAATGAACATAGTCAGATAAAAGAACAGGTTCAATTTTGCAAGCCTACAGGCTGTTGACAAAGAAAACTTTGTTACCTCTGTTTTTCAACTGCTGTGCATCAGTGCAGTAATTCCAGTAAGGCGTTGCATAGGACTAAGGGGAGAGGTAAAGTGCAGAAAATGAAATAAATTTAGATCTGAAAAACTGTTGATTTAAACTCTCTGAAATGTGTGTTCAGTATATCACTCAAGTCTCATGGTGTTGTGCCAAGTCCACAAAAGAGCAAATGATCATGGTTTTCCTCTCTTATTGTGGATGTGTCCCACTTTTATTAGGAAGTTTTCTTTTTTCTTACCTCATTTTAAAAGGTGGGTTTGGTTGGTTTTGGTGTGTTTTATAAATTAATGTTCCTGTTAGCTTATTAAAGACAGTCGTGTTTTTTGGTCCGTGTGTCCCTCGCTTTTCCAATAACATTCCTTTCCTGTCCATTAGTACCTTTCTCTGAATTAGTTAATAGGAAATAGAGTTTGTGGTGGCAGCGGATTTTTTCCCCCTCTTTTAGCAAATGCCTCTGTTGCAGTCAATCTTCCTGTCCTACTGTTTATTGATTCTATTTCTACCATTGACTCAAGCACCACTTCCCATAATCACAGAAACGCAGAATGGTAGGGATTGGAAGGGACCTCTGGAGATCATATAGTCCAACCCTGCTGCCACAGCAGGTGCACCTAAAGCAGGTTGCACAGGGTTGCATTCAGGTAGGTTTTGAATGAGTCCAGAGACAGAGACTCCACCACCTCTCTGGGCAGCCTATTTCAGTGCTCTGTCACTCTCAAAGTAAAGAAGTTCCTTCTCATATTTAGATGGAACTTCCTATGTTCAAGTTTGTGCCCATTACCTCTTGTCCTGTCACTGGGCACCACTGATAAAGACTGGCCCCATCCTCCTGACACCCACCCTTTATGTATTTATAAGCATTGATTAGATCCCCCCTCAGTCTTCTCTTCTACAGACTGAAAAAACATAAGTGCCTCACTTCTTCGTAAGACAGATGCTCTTCTAGTCCCCTAGTCATCTTTGTAGCCCTTTTCTGGACCCTCTCCAGCAGTTCCCCATCCTTCTTGAACCGGGGAGGCCAGAACTGGACACAGTACTCCGGGTGCAGCCTCACCAGGGCGGAGTAGAGAGGGAGGATAATCTCCCTCAACCTGCCGGCCACACTCTTCTTGATGCACCTCAGGCCTTCTTGACCACAAGGGCACATTGCTGGCTCATGATCATCCTGTTGTCCACCAGGACTTCCAGATCTTTTGCAGAGCTACTTTCCAGCAGCTCGGCCTCCACCACATCAAAGTGTAGCATGTTTGCTTGAAAAAAATGAAGGTTACCATTAAATGATCAATGACAGATCACCTCCAAGCCTCTCTCTCACAGTAATCTGAATACAAAGCCCAAACTAAGGAGTTTGGCTTCATATTGAGCATCCATCATGGGACTGCTTCCATTGTTATCCATGAGAATTCCTCTGCCTCATTTGTATGACACAGAAACATGGAAATATCAAGGTTGGAAAGGACCGTAAGATCATCAAGTCCAACCTACAGCCCTACACCACTGTAACACTAAACTGTCTCCTGAAGTGCCACATCCAGCCAGTTTTTAAACATGTCCAGGGATGAGAACTCCACTACCTCGCACGGCAACCCATTCCACATCCACATACACATGACCACATACAAGAGCTACATTTGCAATTAGAATTATAACGCTTGAACAATAAGTGCGAACATATACTTCTGTCTGTCAGCATCTGTACAGGACCTGATGTTTCTCTTTTTGGAAGAGCTATAGTTCTTGACAATTTGCATACTTGTATATAAAGTGTATCTCATGTTTACAATATTTTATTGAAACTATTACATGGCATCAGCATGTAGTCTTACAAGAAGCAGTCAATAGTGTTTGTTTAATATGCATATATGCATGAAAGTTGTCTTTGTAGTAGGGTTTGTGATTTTTTGACCAGTGTGAAGTAGTATTTTATTTCATGAGGAAAAAGATATTTCTGTCCCTAGTCAAATGGAGTTGAATGTTCTGAAGCTGTCTAACAGATTTTGCAGATAGAATCCTCATCGGGATCGTTGAATTTTTAAATAGTAGCTGTAAATACAAAATTTAAAGAAAATAGTATATTGTACTTAATAATATGTAAAAATTCCTCTTAACATTCCTCTGTAAGACTGGTTCCAAAATTCTGGTCCTACTTGCACTGGGTAGAAATGGTGACAATTAAGCTAAATCACTAGGCTAACTATTGTTCGCTCATGATTTGATTGTCCTTAGAGAAGTCAATATAATTTTGAAATGCATCAATTCACTTTTCATCATAGAAATGCTCTATTTCTGGTTTTCTTTTTAAACCAAAGACTGTATTATGAAATCAATGTTTTGTTGTAGCTGGGAAGTGTCATAAAATTATCTGAGCTCTGTCAGCTTATTTATTAACACTAAAGAGTTTTAGTAAACTGCAGCATTGAAAAAATATGTGTATGCATATTAACTGGTGGCTTTTCTTGCCAAGCTAAAAATCTCTAAACATTTGAAGTACTCTTGTAACTGAAAGATCAGAGGTATCTTTTTGAAATCCTGATATTTCATCATCTGTTTGTTTTGTTTTTGTTGTATATGGGCAGCCACATTATGATTCTACTTATTATAAAGTTGATATATTATTATGTTGGAAGAATGTATGATGTGCTTTTATCTTTTATAACTAATTCTTATTTTATGTCCTCTTTCTTTTTCATCAGCTTATATGTTTACAGCTCAGGTGGTAGTTTTATTAGATAGTCAAGTTTTTTGCCATTTCCATTTCTCTTATTTCATGTTAGTGTATCAGAGCGAATAAAAGATTAGATGTGGAGCTGTTAATTAACCAAGGACTATGAGTATATGTGAGAGTACAAACCAGGTTATCTACAGTTTATTTAAATATTCTTTTCACTTAGATTTACTGTCTAATTCTGGACCTATTTCCCTGTCACTCCTATTCCTTTCCCTTTTTATATGACCGTGAGGCTTTCAGAAATCTGAAGCTGTCAGTTTGTAATCTAACCCGTATTGTTGTGTTTGGAATTTTTATGTTAGCTCCTGAAATCAAGTGGCTACATTGGGTATAATCTTTTTTTGGTTTTTTTTCCCCTAACTGAATTTCTATTTAGCCTTCATCTTTCAGCATAGTCCCTAAGGTTTCAGAAATACAAAAAAGAAATAAAACATCCAAACTTCAGTAGTTTTACTGTCTTTAGCTTTGCCCAGTCAACTGACTGCTGTTGCTGCAACCCTATGACTGAGGTGATAAGAGTTATCTCAGTCTTGACGAAATTAAAATTAAATTTCATGGGATTTCAGTTAATAGCACACAGGGAGATTTCCAAACCTCTATTTTTTTTCTTCAACACTGCGAGATATTGGAATTTCCTCTTAAGAACAGTTTTGATTCACTAATGTGTATCCAAGCACACTCAAAACAGATAATGATCTAGAGATGGCTTCCACATTTACTTCTCTGCTCAGTGTGGACTGCTTCAGGAGAATCCCAATTATTTCCAATAAAAGTTAAAGATTCGGTTTTAGTAGTTAATGCATCTGTCTGATACATACGAAGCCGATAAGCTAAATCACTGCTGTTGAATACTCCTCAAATGCTACATGGAATGTCAACTTATACACCAGCAAAACAGCACGATAGCTGCACAAGCATTTAAGTTTTTCATTGCTCACCTCCGTCCGTCACTGAACGGGCTGGAAAAGCAGGTGGAGAAGCTTCCAAGCTTGGAGGTTCCACTTGCCGAAGCAGTTGCACCTTTGAACTCAAGCACTGCTGGCAGCAAGCTCTTCCTCCTGCAGTCGGCCAAGGCCTTCACCCAGAGCAAGACCCAACAGGGTCTAGCACCAAATCCTGGCTGTAGGTGGTGTTTTGGGGCTGAGGTCAGGAGCTACTTCCCCTTGGAGGTGGATGCTGTGTCCAGAGGCAACCAGACAGGTCTCAGCCCTTCATCCCGCATCACTTCCATCACCAGAGGCCTCCCCTGGATTCTTTTGTATGGCTGACCCCCACCACACCCTGTAGCTCCCATAGTTCCACCTGCCATCCTAGTCTAGCACTGGGACTCCAACTCCCCTGACATAACCAAATTCCCCACTTATGATACCCCAAATCCTCCTTTTCCATGATCTAAGCTGAGGGAAAGGGCCAAATTCTACTGAAGATGAGGCTTCATTCTGCAAGCTATATTTTCACCTGCCCAGCATGTTGCTGCTTGCTGTTGATTCAGCTTCTGGTAACAAATTGACAGGCCCCAGGTGAATCAAGGCAAGCTCCGAGTAAAAGTGCTCCTAGCTGGCCTGGGTGGCTCAGCCATGCTTCTAATGCTGGCCCAGGTCCTCAGCTAGCCACGATTTTTTCTCTTCCAATCCTGGCATGTTTCTATATTTTTTCTGTATCTTAACATAGTTTGCACTCGTAGGTACTATTCTGTAATGGAACACTACCAGGCTTGCTATCCGTTGTGTTGGAATTAGTTTATTTTTTATATTGACATAACAATGTAAAAAAAAAAAAAAAGGCGAAAAGCCCATGTCCATAGGAATATAAGTTTCAGTTTTTGATTTCCCAAATAAGCTGTCCCCATCTCCTCTAAAGGCTACTATGCTGGTTTTGAAACATTGTCAAAAAATAATTTTAAATTTTGTAATTTGTCCCTTTTGCAGATCTTTGTACTGTGGATCATGATTGTAATTATCATAAATAAAATTCATATTTATGAACATAAATCTCGGAGTAAACTGCCAGGTGCAGGGTTGACTACCATTGCCAATTTGTTGTCTGTTGTGTTAGAAAAAGGGAGAATAACTTGCTTCTCTATATTATATAAGAATAAACACTTGGAGTTAATCAGGATTTAAGATAAAAGCCATTGATTATGATACCGATCTGTTAAGAATGTAAATGTTCCTGCTTTTAATTAGTCTGTACCTAATACTGCTGCCTGTCTGGTGCTCTGCATTAGGAACTATTATATGACTGGCAAATCTTACTCTACTTCTGCTTCCTTTTATGTTTAGGGTATGCATGAACTTTTAGCTCCCATTGTCTTTATCCTGCATTGTGACCACCAAGCTTTTTCACATGCCAGTGAAGCTGCACAACCAAGGCAAGCGTTGTTTTATTTGTGTAGTGTTAAAAATGTGTGTTACTTGTTTATAATTGATAAATTGATAACAGAAATTGTTGCATCCTCCTGCTTTCACGTGAATGTCCTCATTTCATCTTCCAGCTGCTAGAGCTTCTGAAAGGGGGATTAAAAGTGTAGACATTGGCCTCTTCACAGATAGCAGCTGGCGAAAAAAGAGAAGCCAAGAAACCAGAGGAAAACCTTAATAAAAAAGGTTACATGCCTACCTACCATTTCTCCTCATTCTTATGGCCAGAAATTGTTTAGTTTTTGTCATTGAAGAGAGGAGGCAAATAAGAGAACTACATTCATAGAACGGACATGGGGCCAACTCTCTCTCCTCATGTTTTAAAAGAGAAAAAAATGAATGTAAACAAGTTGTTGTGATTGATATTTATTTCATCATCTGCAAAATTGTAGGTGCAATATCTGATTTTCCTTTGACTTGGTAGTAACATTAAGTTTGGCTATCAATTCTCCATTTCACTCAAGCAGTGTGTGTGTATGTGTATGTAATTATACACATAGGTATAAAATGTTACATCAGACGTGATTGTGTCAACCAGTTCAGATGCTTTTTTTATTCCTTATATGTAAGCTTTTTTTTAAAAAAAAAGGTCTATTAAAAAAAAACTATTTACCTTCTTATGTCACTTGTGATATTTAGGTCATTTCATTTGTCTTTTTGCATTCTCTTTTGGAGCCCAGCAGTGAATAAAAGCCAATTTAATTGTGTGTACTGTGCAATGTAACCTCTGTTATCACCCCTCACTGTAATTGTCCAAAGGCAGTTAGGCATAAGGATGGAGATTATTAACAAGTCTATGTTTTTATTCAGTGTCTGTCCTTAGATATCCTGAAATTACCTAGAAGATGCTATTCAGTGCTAAGTAACTTAAAATAACCATGTGTTATGTACAGCATTCTGTTCCATCTCCACTGAAAAAGTAGAGCTAAGCAGCAAAGTAGATGGAAAAGAGGTGCTGTCACTGATTAATTGCTGTTAAACTACAATAAAAATACAGGCTATTAAAACAAAATAAATTAATGTTTTGATACTGCATATTTGACCAGTAACCATATTTTTTTTTGTTTGGGACAAACAGTGATAGATTGTGCAGCAATCAATTATTCTAGATCAAGCATATTCAAATAATACATTGTGACATTCAGTAATTTGTTATTTGGAATAATTAGATGGTTACTTCATTGTAGTGCAGACAAGGCAGCTAATTTGTTTTTGATCTTTATAAAAAGGAAAGACTTCATTTGTTCAATGGAGTTGCTCTTTTTAATTAAAAAGGCTAGTTTTCTCATTTGCACTTTATATGAAAGTTGGCTTATAAATACATAATAGTATATGCAGAACGCTGACCAAAAATAAACATTCACATTTGGATTGTTCACTGTTGCCTTTTTCAGCGAAGAAATGAAAGTTCTTTTAAATCCTGAATATCTGGAACATGATGCCTAGTAAGTTTTAACAACTTTCTTTACATTTAATTTGCTCTTATTTGTAATACATTATTTAACACTGAATTTGTGGGTTTTTCCTCTTCAGTGCAATGTTCACACGACTTATGAAAACTGCAGAACATTGGTTTTCAACTTTCGAACATGACAGTCAAAAGGTAAATATTGCTTTAAAGTGTATTTTTTTTGTATTTTTAAGCAATGTGATTTTTAATATGATTGAAGTAATTTCAAGCTAGTAAGGCATCTTCTCTTTAACAACTTGGTTAAATCAGGCCCTACCAAGTTTACAGTCTCTAGAGGTTCTTTAGAATTTGGCCATAAGCACTTGTGGAACATCTTCCAGTAAAGAGTTCCTGTCTTTTGAAAGATCACTTTTTAATCGAAAGCCAAATGTGCAAAACCAGATCCTCCGATGTATGAGTAATGCTCTTGTGTAGCACTCCAAAGAATGCCTTTCATAGGCACGTCTGTGTGCCCAAAACTTGTCCAAACACCATGTTAAATAAATGCATATAGGCAGTGTTTAATGTATTGGGGCTTGATTTGTTTTCAGCTCTTTACAAATGTAAACAATTTGCTGTGACACCAAAACTTCAGCTATAGGCTGTCTGTCAAGGGTCAGGGTGCATCTTTCCTTGGCTTCATCACTTCATTTCCTTACTTTTTTTCTTCTTGATCACTGGGTATTCAAACAGAGGGAATGCCGGTGCCCTCAAATCTCCTGTGTAGCTATACAGACACTGCTATACTTAGTATGTTGCTTCTTCTCATAGAAAAGCTTCTTCTGTGTTTTGAATTTAGTTCTACAGAACTCTTCCTTGCAAGGACCTTCTAAGGATCATCTAGTCCTTGCCTGTAACCATTTTTCATTTCCGGCATGAGGGACAATTCTCTCAGTCAATTGCTTGAGATTTTCTCAAAATACTTTTTGACCCTGTTTCTTTCCCTGTTTACCTTTCTTTTTTAATTCTGAAAAAGTATTTGTGTGATGGAGGGCATGTAGAAGGCTCTAGCAAAACATACCAATGTTACAGTTATTGCCAAGACTTTCAGGGTGTTATATACTAAAAGAGTTGTCCTTCAAACTTAGTTCCAGCTTGATTCACTTCAAAAAATGTTGCTTAGATCATGTGGTGAGTATCTATTAACAAAAAAATAGTAAGAATTTGATTGACTCTGGATGTCCACATGTGTGCACCAAAGCATATTTACAAACTGTAATTAGAGAGTACTACTTTGCGAAGTGGTTTGGCCTGTCTGTTGAAGAAAAAGGTGTTCACCTAAGACTCATATAAAAGCCTCTATTTTCTTTAAAAGTTGAAATGTACATATGTGTATATTTTATTAGACATGGAGCATTGGCATCTTGGCCTAAGCTATCTACAGTTATAAATTACTCTTTGGATTTGGATTTTTACATAATTCTCAGTAACTAAAGATAAAGCATCTGAGATACAAATTTTATGAACTTATTACATAGTCACTTTTATTCCAACAACAAAGCTGTGAGACATGTTTCTCTGAGTGTAGCTTTTCGGGATTCAGTGTATTCAAATGCATTTATTGCAATTTATATGACAGAGGTGGTAAAGTCTGAGGTTCAGTTTTATTCTGGGAAATAACTAGGTCTGCTTACAGATTTGCAGTGCTTGGGTAGCAGGTGAAAGTTTACATTGCCCTTTCCAGTCCTTTCATGGCATAAAAAATTAACAATGCAAAGCGCATGGATTAATATCTAGTTGTTTGTTCTTGTTCTTTGCAAACATGTATAATCTTTAATAATCCTTTCTTGTATGTATGCGTTTTACAACCATGACTTTGAGGGTTAGCTATGTAATAAAGTCTTCACAAAGAAAGCACTGAAATCTTGTGCTCTGAGAGACATGTTACATTTTATAGCCTCTAACAGTTGGTTCCATTATTCCCAATTGCCATTAGAGGAGCTTCTCCAGCTACTCCATTCCCTTGTGGTTAATGAGAGAAATCTGTCCACGGTTTATACTTGTACTATGTCGTAGCCTCTCTTTACTGCTGTAGCATTTGTTTCCTAAATGCATGAATATATGAATTATATTAGTATCAACTGCCACCTATTCCAGTCCATGTTGTGCTACGTGATGTTTTGTGGCAGGATTTGGTGGCTCTGTTCCTAATACTTGATCTAAATTTTTCAACTGTATTTTACTAGTATCCATATTTAGACTGTTCTTAGAGGTGAATCTGATGCTCTCCTGTGAACAGTGTAGCACATCTCTGAGCCATCCCTCTTTTTGCCTTTTTATTGTGAAGCGCATCGCTTTGGGATTGATGCTTTATATTTTGTGTTAGCAGTAGATGACTAAACCCATGCAACTCAATTTTTTTCCCAAGAATGAGAAGCTCACAAAAAGAAAATGGGTGTTTTGTCTCCTGTGGCAACTTAGTATATGGTGAGTATGGGCAGGGGCACAACATCATGTTGTCCACTTGGCTTCCGTACTTTAGGCACAAGCACTGTGAGCCATTTCTAGTTAAACATTTTGTCAGCTTGGTTGTATTAGTTTATTTCAGCATCTTTCTGTTTGGGCTGTTTTTTTCACACCAGCTGATGTGATTTTTTGGGAGCAATTTCAAATGACTAAATGTATTGTCGTTTTCTCAACCAAATTGTGTGAGAGGAGACAAGAGATGTATCGTATGCACTCTAGTCATCCACTAAACTTCTTGCTGGAGTGCACCAAATCAGGAGGCATGGACAGTCAAGACATTAATTATTGATAGCAACTGCTGTCCCCACAGATTATATCATACTTTGAAGATTTCTCTTAATGGGGTTAATTTCTGAGATGCTCCTCATGGCTTAGACAGTATACTTTTCACTGGGTAGAAAACTGGCTGGGCAGCTGAGCTGGCAGTGGTGAGTGGAGTTAAATTCAGTTGGTGGCCAAGTGGTCTTCTCCAGGGCTCAATACTGGGGCCTGTTCTGTTTAATACCTTTATCAGTGATCTGGATGAGGCAATCAGGTTCACTCAGGAAGTTGGGAGAAGGCACCGAGATGAGTGTTTGGGCCTACTTGAGGTTAGAAAGGCTCCTACAGAGGGCTCTGGACAGGCTGGATCGATGGGCCGAGGCCAACTTTATGAGGTCCAACAAGGACAAGAGCCGAGTCTTGCACTTTGGTCACAATAACCCCCATGCAAACCTACAGTCTTGGGGAAGAGTGGCTGGAGAGTTGCCTGGCAGGGAAGGACCTGGGGATGTTAATAGATGTGGTAAAGCAGTGGGCCCAGGTGGCCAAGAAGGCCAACGGCATCCTGGCTTGCGTCAGAAATAGTGTGGCCAGCAGGAGCAGGGCAGTGACTGTCCCCCTGCACTCAGCACTGGTGAGGCCACATCTCGAATCCTGTGTTCAGTTTGGGGCCCTTCACTACAAGAAAGACTTTGAGGTGCTGGAGTGTGTCCAAAGCAGGACAACGAAGCAGTGAAGGGTCTAGAGCACAGGTCTTACAAGGAGGAGCTGTGGGAACTGAGGTTATTTTGCCTGGAGCAAAGGAGACTGAGGGGAGACCTTATCACTCTCTCCAACTACCTGAAAGGAGTTTGTATTGAGGTGGGGGTCAGTCTCTTCTCCCAAGTAACAAGTGATAGGAGTAAATGGCTTCAAGTTGCACCAGGGTGGATTTAGATTGCATGTTAAGGAAAATTTCTTCACTGAAATGATTGTCAAGCATTGGAACAGGCTGCCCAGGGAAGTGATTCTATACCATCCCTGGATGTATTTAAAAGACACGTAGATGTGGCATTTAGTGACATGGTTTAGTGGTGTACTTGGCAGCGTTAGGTTAATGGTTGGACTTGACCTTTTCCAACATAAACAATTCTTTGATTCTATGATTTTGATGGATACCATTTGTTTCTCTCATGCTTTTAAAAATGGCAAGCTAGCATATATTATTTGATGCGCTTAGCCATGTTGCTAGTCAGACAGTCTGACAGTCAGCAATGTGTCAGTGCTGCATTACGCCAAAGTGCACAAATGCTGCAAGTGACAAATAATTCCAGTTTTGGCACTCCTCTGTAAAAGGAAGCTTGCATTAGTTTTGATATTCAGAATCCTTTGACAATTGAACCAGTGTTTAAGAGTCTTCTCCTTTACTAAAAAGATGGCTTGAAAGCCACAGACAACTAATGATATAAAAGCTAATCTGAGTAACTATCTAGTGTTCTCATATTACAAATTCAAATAAGTAGGATTCTAATGTTGAAGTTTGTATACAAGAATCACAGAATGTTTGGGGTTGGAAGGGACCTCAAAAGATCATCTAGTCCAGCCCCCCTGCCAGAGCAGGATCACCTACAGTAGGTCACACAGGAACGCATCCAGGTGGGTTTTGAATGTCTCCAGAGAAGGAGACTCCACAACCTCCCTGGGCAGCCCGTGCCAGGGCTCTGTCACCCTCGCAGCGAAAAAGTATTTCCTCATGTTTTTGTGGAACCTTCTGTGCTCAAACTTGCACCTGTTCCCTCTTGTCCTGTCATTGGACATCCCTGAGAAGAGCCTGGCTCCGTCCTCCTGATGCTCAGCCTTTACATATTTATAAACATTAATGAGGTCACCCCTCAGTCTCTTCCAAGCTGAAGAGACCCAGCTCCTTCAGCCTTTCCTCAGAAGGGAGATCTTCCACTCTGTCATCTTTGTGGCTCTACGCTGGACTCTTTCCAGCAATTCCCTGTCCTCTAATCAAGAAAAGCTTAAAAATACTTATCTTTTTAGTCATCGGAGTTAGGAGTGTATGGAGTGGTCAAGCTGAAGTTGAATAAATAAATAAATCTTGAAATTAAAAACTTGAATAAACCAGAATGAAATTCGTACCGCAGCTGTGTGCCAAATGGTGGAAGATATACAGCCTTTGAATAGGTAGAGTTGCAGGCTTTTATTATTAGTTTCAAAGATAAATTTATATGTTTATTCAAAAGGTTACTATAGACTGGCATTTAACATAAAGGCAATGTTACCACATCACAACCTAAAGAGTGTTTTTCTGTGTGGAGTAGAAGGAGATTAGTGGATACCCTTTTAAAGTATTTTGCATTCTAGCATGTGACCAAGAAAATAATGAAATGGGTCTGAAAAAATAGTAGGAAATAGCCATACAATGGAGGAACAAAAGTCAGGGTAAAAAGAAGGCTGATGGATTTCGTAATAAAGAAGTTAGTAGAATAACTAAAAAAAAGAAGTAGGAGGAACATCCTTTCTCAATGTACCTGCAGATGCTTAGAATTTTAATATTTAAGTAAGTAGCAACATTTCTTAATAGCCCCTAAGATGCTAGATGTTTTATTTTAAATTTCTATTTGGTGGAACAGAAAAGATTTTGAATGAAAGGATACCATGTCAGTGAGCTTTATTTGACCATCTGAGGGAGCTTTTGTCAAGTGATTTGCTAGGACATCCTAAGTGAATATATCTTGATACCACAGTAGCAAGGCAAAACCACCACACTGTAATAGACAGATCAGTCCCTTTGCTGCAGTTGCCATAGCAAAGCAACAATTAAGCAGATTTTAAGATGCAATTTATAATCAATCAGATCCTTAAACAGAACATTTTACCTGAAATCAGTGCTCAGCATCATACCATATTTTCTGCAGTACAGAAATTAAATAATTTTTAAAAAGTATTTCAAGCAAAGGACATCAACATAAAAAATAAGCATTTTGGTAGAAATTACTAAATGTTCACTGCTCACTTGAATGCTAAACTGTAAATAATTGTGAAATAGGAGTAATTCTCTTCCTTCCTCTTAAAATGCTGATAGAGACTGGGGTTGAAGAGGGACTATAACCATAGGAACAACCTTGGGGATAGTTTATGCAACAAAAAAAACCCTTTCTTTGTTATTGAATCTTAAATGTAATGTTCTTTTCACTGTATTGAACCAAGTGAATTTGTCTTTCAACACTTTAAGCTGTAATGGAGTCTTCTTAAATTATTAACCCTTTGACCTTGATAATGCTTCTCTATCAATATACTGAACAAAAGGGTAGAAAAACAGTAACTATTTTTTAAATTGAGGCTTTCAGATCAGAGCCATGATGACAGATTGCAACAAAATCGTGGCAAAATCTTCTCTTCTTACTGTTCCAATTTTCACTGTTTTATGGCTTTAACATTGTTCCTGACATCTTAATTCTCTACGTCACTTTTCCCAATCTTTCTCTTGATAGGTTTGACTAGTCCTTTTTTATTTCTCATCTGTATTTTTACGTTTCCTGTTTGTTCAGTGCATTCCATTACTTGCTGCATTTCTTTCTAGCATTCTGTCTATTTTTTAGTAATGCTTCACTCCTTTGCAAGAACAAATTTAAAGCATCAGGTTCAAGGATGCTAATCCTCCAGAAGTTTTCTTCCTCTGTTTCTACTTGCTGTGTGTCATGTTCTAGATAGTGACATAGTTTGCACAACCTTTAGGTCCAACCAACTGCCTTCTAGCCATCAGATTCATCTGACTGTTCTCTTTCTTTTTTTTGTCATAATTTTTTCTGACGCTTTATCAAGGTTGTGTAGATTTTGAGGCACAGTCACCAGATTTTCTGAGTAAGGGAATTCTGTTTAGAAAGGATTGTTTGAAAATAAATTATTTCCTACTTGGTATGCAATTTATTGTCCTCTGAGGGCGTATATTCACTGCTGAGTTACCATTCATCTGCTTTGCTCTGAACTGACTCAGACCACTGATATTAAAGCTAAAATAAAGCTGCCAACACTTTGCCAGAGCACAGCACGTATGTAAATATTGATGTGCAGAATGAGGAAGTGAACCTTGGACTGCCTGGGAAGGGAAATCCCAGAATACCTTCCACAGAAGTGGATACTTGAGATTCCTCTTTGGCTGGAAAAGAAACGTGTTTATTTGGAAGCCAGTGATTATCAAAAAAGAAATCTCTTGTAGACAATCCCTTTAGACAAAAAAGCTTCATGGGATATGTTTTCTGTGTCTGCAGGAGAAGGATGTGATGATTACACCTATGCCATTTGCAAGGCCACAGGACTTAGGCCCATCTATTGCTATTGTAGCAAAGGTAAACCAAATTCAGGATCATCTGCTGAAGAAACATGATATTGAGCTGTATATGCATCTGAACCGACTGGAAATTGCTCCACAGATTTATGGACTGTAAGTGTTTGCAAAGCATTATTTCACTTAATTCCTTCTGGGTTTATTTCATAATATATTGACATTTTTTCCTTAAATTTAGGATTAGAGGAATGGAGCTAAAGTAAACTACTTCTTATCTCTTAGAAATCATTCAGCTGGCAGTATTACAGTGACACCCCACTGTTGTATCTCTGACAGTGGCATTCTCAGTGCAGATAAAGTCCATTCAGCTACATATTAAGAGAACTTAATATGAGAGAGTGATTGGAGAGTGGCCGTCAGAGAGGGACCTAGGAGTGCTGGGTGACAAACGGTTGGCCATCAACCAGCAAT